TTCATACCAATCGTTCGGGAAGGGCTTAAGAAGCCAAGTAGAGAAATAGGAAATGGTAGACGGGAAATACTAGACCACATCGACAAAGTTCGAATGGACAACAAAGGAAGGTCATGATATTATCTACAATTGTTTCACTACCTAATTAGTTCAGATCCAATCATTATGCCTATATACTTTAATAATGTTATGCACCTATCAGCATTAGCGCGTCATCTGCTGTGATACTTGATTCCTTACAAAGTAAGTAGACATCTAGGCATTTCTATAAATAGCCCACAATTCAATATTTTTCAAATATATATCAAATATTTCAAGTATCAACACAAAACGCACAACGGATAAATAGTGAAACTTACTGAAACATCACACGAACTACTTTCAACATTATTAATGGCAGATACAACTCATATCAGCAAAGGTTTTATACTTTTGAAAGTTTAGGGTCTGTTCTCAGACTGTATAATAATATTGACACGTTAAAGTTTTCATTAGACGAGGCCGCATTATATGATAGACAAATTAGATTATGGGGTTTAGAAGCTCAGCAACGGTTTGTAGCAAGATGAATTTTAATTATCTATTTAAGTTTGCTGCAATTGAATTAGTTGATTTTGTATCGGTTGTACCCTCTAGAATGCGTATTTCATCAATTCTAATCAGTGGGATGCGAGGACTAAGTAATGAAATATGCAAGAATTTGGTTCTTGCAGGGATCGGCTCGATTACAATAATTGACCATAATGTGGTTACAGAAGAAGATCTTGGAACACAATTTTTTGTGACAGAAGCAGACATAGGAAAGAATGTATGCTGTAATTTTTTAATGTATGCTGCAATTTTTAGCACATTATTTTATCGTAGGACAAAACTGTGACGTGGACCTTTTATTGTTATTTGTAATACATTTTTTAAGAAAGCAATTGTTTCAGTTGATCGGATTCGTCAATTAAATCCTCGTGTCGTAGTGACAGCCGACAATAACGACATACGTGCCAAGTCTGATGATTTCTTCAAAACCTTTGATTTAGTGTGTCTTACAGATTGCGACCCTTATACAATGGTAGGTACAAATTTAATCAATGCTAAATATTTATGTTTTGGTTAACATTATTATTATATATTATTATTATTATTATTATTATTATTATTTGTATAGATCCGAATTAATGAGATCTGCAGAATTTTTGATAAAAAATTTTATGCAGCTTGCACTTATGGTTTCTACGGTTACATTTTTTGTGATCTTAAACAACATGAATATATAGTGTATGTCTTCAATTACTACATATTTGGAAATGGACTTAGCTTTTGCTGTTTCAACTAAATTGATATCTTACAACTTTATAGAGAACGAAAGGTAGCAATACCACATAAAGATGAGCACGAAATAACAAAGATAAAAAAGAATGACGAATACGTGAGCTTTCAATGTGCCTTATCCAAAGCTGATTGGACAGAGATTTCAGATAGAAAACTAAAAAAGATTTCGCCTTTATTATGGGCTATTCAAAGTATGTTATTATTTTTTACGCTTGACGGAATTGTAAATTAACATTTATCTTAATTTATGTCGAATGATTTAAATATTATGCAGTTTTATGGAAATTTCAACAAGAAATGGGTCGATTACCAGCAACAAATGATAATTCGGACGTTGAAAAATTGTTATCCCTGAGAAACTCGTATTTGCAAACTATTCATATTAATAATCTATTTGTAACTGATGAATTTCTTATGTAAATAATTTTAATATTCATTTGAAAGAATGTTACATTCTGTTCAAAAAAATAACCATATTTTTCCATTTAGAACTCTCGCATCATTTGCACTTACGGAATTAACACCTATATGTGCAATCCTGGGAGGTGTTTTAGCTCAAGACATCCTGAATGTGCTGTCCAAGAAGGGTGCCCCCATTAACAACTTGTTTGTTTTTGACGGGCTTCAAGGTGATGAAAATTACTTGATAATTGTTTTTCGTATTTTTTGGTAATCCATTAAATTCATTGATTTAATAATAACAGGTAATGGATATATTTACCATGTTGAGCAAGGTAAACATGTTGTTTGATTGGATAATCTTATGTAAGTTGTTATGCAAAATGAAAGTGCAATAAAGTCTTCGATCGCGAATATAAGCTTTTAATATAAACATGAACCATTGATATTCCCCTAAATGAAATGCCATAACCACCCTGGTTTGTTACATTTTATCCAAATTGATTTAATTGGCTATTAATAAATTATTAAGTACGTTTAAAAGCATTTTTGAATCTAAAAGCTTGTGATTCAACCTTCGAAATTTTATGGGCTCCAATCTTCCCGGCAACGATGCTAATGATTTCCGAATCCAGACAAATTTGTAATTACACAATAACGTGTAACTTGGTCTGATTTCTAATTACTCATATAGCTTTTCAAGCAAATTAATGAGACAAAGTTATGTCCCATCCGTCGAATATATACTGTAGTAATAAAAAAAATCTACGTACTGTACGTACAATTTTAACTGTCCATATGATTATAAATAAAGCATGCGACTGGAAAAAATTTTACTACAGTACTACGTATTACAAATTTTTGCACCCATGTAGATATTTTAGGTAGCGCACCCACAAAAATTTTCCCCACCCGTGATTTATAAAACCGCGTTATAATTAGGGTTAGAGCG